TGCCGCGTGTGCACATTCAGCCCAGGAGGAGGATCGGAGGAGGAGAGAAGGAGGAGAGCTCTCCGCCCAGCGCTGGAAAAAGGTAAGTTTTTAACCCTTTCCCCCTTCCAGAGCCGGGCGGGAGGGGGTCCCCGAGTATGTTTTCCTGGCACTATAGTGGTCCTTTAAATTTAGGTCACCTAATAATAACTTAGTCTTCTGTAAAATTTCCCAAAAGTTCCTTTTTAAAAAAAAAAAAAAAAAAGTGGACACAACAGTGACCAAAAAAATAAATTAGTTCATGATATTAAAGAACCACCAAAGTCACCCAGACCAGTTTATCTCAATAAAGAGGTCTGGCTACAGTGGCCCTGTAGTTTTAACCCTGCAGTATAAAACATTGCAGTTTTGTAGAAACTAAGTTTTACTGCCGGGTGTGGGCTTTAATCTCTAGCTACGGAGTCTTCATGCTTTCAACATCTTGCCAGACAAATCTTAAAGGATCACTATAGGGTTAGGAACAGAAACATGTATTCCTGACCCTATAGTGTTAAAACCACCATCTAGCCCCTCATGCCTCCATAAATATAGCAAAATCTTACTGTGTTCAAAATCATACTGTATCTTACTGTAACTCTGCATGCTGTTTGCCTAAAAAAAAAAACAAGCTGACATCATCAGAAGTGGTGGCCTGATCCAATCACAGTGCTTTCCCACAGGATTGGCTGAGACTGACAAGGAGGCAGATCAGGGGCAGAGCCAGCACAATTCAAACACAGCCCTGGCCAATCAGCATCTCCTCATAGAGATGAATTGAATCAATGAATCTCTATGAGGAAAGTTCAGTGTCTGCATGCAGAGGGAGGAAACACTGAATGTTTGGATGAATTTTAGGCAGCCATGACCCAGGAAGGATCTCTAACAGTCATCTAAGGAGTGGCCAGTGAAGTTATCACTAGGTTGTAATGTAAAGACTGCATTTTCTCTGAAAAGACAGTGTTTACAGCAAAAAGCCTGAAGGTAATGATTCTATTCACCAGAACAAATTGAATAAGCTGTAGTTGATCTGGTGTCTATAGTGTCCCTTTAAATGCGAGCAAGACGTTAATAACCAGGAAGGTCTGGTGTTTATTAAGTGTTTGAATATCTAAGTGGAGACGAAATGTTTGTGGGGTTATTTCTGAACGGAGTCCGAATAAATTCCTGAGCAAGTGTAGCTTTAAGTTCATGTAGGCAGCCACATGCCCAACAGATGTGAAATTGACTGCCCAGTTCAAGTTGGCATCTCCAACAATACTCATCAGAGCCTGACTGGAATTTAATCAATCTGGATGGAACCATATACCACTGGTGAGTAAGCTTAAAAAATTGCTCATGCAAGTTGATTGTCAAGGTCAATCTTCCCAACACGCAAACTAAGGGGCTCAATAGATACAGAAAGCCAGACATATTACCGGTCCTTGGAATGGCTGGACCTAATGTGTGAAAGTACAGAGATGAGAACAAAATGGTCAGACAAGCCAAGGTCAGGATTGAAGACGAAAGAAAAAAACAAAGAACAAAGCCAAGGGTCAAGAATGCCAGAAGGACGGATAACAGATACCAGAAAAGACAAACCAACGAAACGCACTCTCAGGCTGCAAAAGACCACGACAGGGCAGGGAAGTGATGAAAGAGGGAGGTATCAATAGGACTAAGTTAGAGCTGATAGGCTAGAGAACCTAATAGGGCAATAATTAAATAGATATGAATAGAGTGCTAGTTAAATTGTAAAAAATGGTACTTCCAATTAAAGAAGCCGGCGACAAGCGAGATGCACGCCCCCTAGCTTGTAATAGCGTGCGTGCTGGCGTGCATACCCGAACGGGCACACGATTTTGGCCGGATGTCTGCAGACCGCGGCAGTGGAGGGACAGGATGGATGGCGGGGACTGAGAGGAGGTATGACATTGATGCAGTGAACTGCTTTTTTGGTTGTGCTATGCCAGGCTTTGAACCAGTTCTGCAGAGGATAGGGTTTCTCAAACAATATATTGGAATAAAAGAATCTTAAGGTCTTAGAGACTGTATTTTTTTTAAGTGTCCATAGACAAGAAATCATCCCATGCCTGTGGAGGCGTAGGAGGTTTTGATATAAGAAAGGACTTGATCCTAAGATAACTAAAGAGCTCACAAGCCAGGAGACCATATTTACAACATAGAATTGGAAAAGAGGTCACAATTACATTCAGATATAGGTCCCAAAATATCAGAATCCCACTATTTATCCAAGATGTTATGGTGATGTCAGGCAAACACATTGAGATTACTTCAGGTGCCAATTTAGAAAAAGAGTTTTTATATTTCATTTGTTTTTTTACATAATATAAGGAAGACATTATGTTTTTAACAGTCGCAGAGTTAATTTCCAGCTGTTTATAGTATTTACGTGTTAACACCAAAAATGGGTGTATGCCTTTACGACTAAGTTTCTCGATTGTATACCAACTGGCCTCACGTACCGAGGTTCGGTTCCAGGCTAGAGTGTGTGAGATCCGAGTGGCATCGTATAACTTATTAATGTCTGGATAAGCCAGTGACCCAACATGTAGTATATAAATGATAGTGTAGGCAACGTAAACCGGCCCTTAGACTGGCCCGGTTTTACGTTGTTAGATAAAGAATGGTCAGGGACAAGCCGAGTCAGGGAAGCCAACAATCACGGAAGCGAAAAAAAAAGTTATCCAAGTCACAGGAGAACAGAAGAGAGAATAGTCAGAAGAGAGCAAAGATCAAAATACCATAAAAGACACAGAATATAACACACTCTTGGGAACTGTAAAACAGAAACCAAAACAGGGAATGATCCTTTCCCTGAGTGCCCTTTTTATATCCTATACCTTTACATCTATAGTCACACCCCCAAAACATTCGAATTCGAAAGTTTTGGTGGGCCTGGACTTCATGACCTAGACGCGTACGCCCAGCGTCATAAAAAGGGGCAGAGCTACAGCGTCCGGTGTCAGAACCGCTAGTGAGATGAGAGGGACCATGGGAAGGGTCCCTCTCCCCTTCATGGAGCTCTCCAAGCAGTGTCACACAAGATACTGTGGCAGCCAATCATTCTTGGGCTAGGCCATGTTTGAGTGTCCTACCAGGAATCTGAGGCTTTCTTGCGGACCATGCAAATCTAGAGAATAGGTCGAACTCTCGCAACACATTTCTGGATATCCAAAATGGAATGACTCTGAAAATATATAGATCCTTAGGAATAATGTAAGCCTTTAGCATGTTAATACGACCCATCCATGATACTTCCACTTCGACCAGTTATTTGCCAAGGTCTTTATGTTTGTGTAATAAAGCATTTTTTTTTTAAGTTGCAACGCTTATATCGAAAAGTAATTTACTAATTGGTATAACTCAGTAACAAAAGAAGGTTTCCAACTGGATTTCCAATCTCTCTGGTCTTTGTGATTTAAATGAAACCAGAGAATGCTAAATACCAAAGTTAAAAAAATAAATAAAAAAGGTAAAAATAAAATTACAAGTCACCAGTTGAAGTCTCACTTGAATTTCCTTTATATGTTCATTCTTCTCTCTTTTCTCTTCTTTTATTTTGCATATTAACCTGCAAGTTTCACACTTTCCCGGAAGTGCCCTGTGATTTGATTTCAGAGCCTACCAATCTCATAAGCCCTCTAGCTGTCCAGCTAGACATTTTCAAAATTTGGAGGCTTATGTGTGATCAGTTACATAGCTGAAAAGAGACATGTGTCCATGAAGTTCAGCCTTTCTCACATTTGTTTATGCTGTTGATCCAAAAGAAGGCAAAAAACACAGTCTGAAGCACTTCCAATTTTGCAACAAACTAAGAAAATAATCCTTCTTGACCCCAGAATGGCAGTCAGATATCTCTTTGGACCAAGAAACTATTACAACACTACACTAATTAAAAAATGATATCCATGTATATTATGTTTTTGCAATTATTTATCCAATTGCTGTTTAAACATCTGTACAGACCCTGATAAAACCACCTCTTCAAGCACAGAATTCCACATCCTTATTCTTATTGTAAAAAAAACCTTTCCTTTGCTTACACTTAATCTCCTCTCTTCCAGTCTAAATGTGTGAACTTGTGTCCTATGTATAGTCCTATTTATGAATAGATTTCCAGACAGGTATTTTTTCATTTTACGTTTTGAAGCACAATTGTGCAGCTATAAAAGTGTTCATATTTTTATGGTCACTGAAAGAAGATATTCAACTCTACTTGTAGTTACTAGATGAAGAAGGGAGGGGAAGGTATTACTTAAGGGGTGGCAAGGGGCTTAGAGAGTCATAAACAGTAAGGGATGGGGTTCACTTTAGATGCATGGGAATGGGCATACTCTGGTCCTACTAGCACCATAAAGGTCAGAGTGACTGGGCTCACTGTGACTTTATAGTCATGATATCCTATTAGGGTAGGTAGCGTACATAGGAATGAGTATGTGGTAGGGCATGAATGTGAAGAAACAGTGGGCCAAACTCCAGGCCTCCCCTGGTTATTGTGAAATCGAACAGAACTAATGGTGAGTTTTTTAATTCTTACATTTATTGAAACAGGACGTACCTCTTGTTACATACCTTAGGTCTCACAGACTCAGCATGTATATTTTTAACATGTCTAATTTCCCTTTCAGGGCCAAAAAAAGAGAACAGGGCAATGCATTGCTCTGTGGCATTGAAAGGGATAATGACATGACTCATGAATCCAGTTACATGCTGGGTTGGTACTGCAAAATTAACTACCTTGAAATATTTAAAAAGTAGTAACATTTTCTAAATAAATGAACGTGTATGGGATATATTTTTAAAAAAGAGAACACTTTTTGTAGTCTCTTTTTATCTTGAAATTACAGTTTTATACATATTTGTGCCAACAAGACATACAGCACATTGCAGCTTGATTAAACATGACGTGTACCACTACTGGATTATGTTTTTTCCTGCATAGCAGCATACGGTGGGCACAGATGAGGTGTTAAACAAATACAAGTTGAATCAGTTGCAGAAAAGCAGAACTAACTGACTTACAGCCTGATGACTGTATCGAAGGCTTCTTCATTTTAGTGTGCTGGCCCAACACTTCATGTGACTTCAGCTTCCGTTATTTCCTTCCGGAAGATCTAAAATAACCCTAGAAGGAAGAGCAAAAAAAAAAAAAAAATCTGCAGAATTGTTTCTGTATGTAAATGTAAGAGGCATGTAAGGGGCTGACCACATTACCACCTTGTCTTTAAGCTGTATGAAACAGCCCTTCCTAACCTTTCACTGAGCTCTTTTTGAATTTCACACCAAATACTGGGCGCCTCTACGTTGGTTCTTTTGGCCTTACCTCAATCCACTCTTCAAGTTTGTCATCTTCGAATTCCAATGCTTTGGTTAGAATGCTGACTCTTGCCTCGCAAAACCATTTCAGCTATTGTTCCGTCCTTGTATGCCGAGCATTCGTGCACTGTAGTATGGACTGTGGCCATCAAGCCTTCCAACAAAATTTAGATTTTCTGTGACTTTACGAATCTCAATTCTTGCTGTGGACCCCATCGTTAAAAGAGGTATCCACAATGCTGTACGCTAAGCCAAGTGCGGTAAGTGACTTTTTTTTCTTCTTGTGGTTTCATTTGTGTGTGGGCTAAGAGAAAACCCCAAAAGACACAACATAGTACTTCCACCCTAAAAGCAGCCACTATTAAACATCAGAGAGACTTCTAACCTAGATACTTTCAAAGCACATAATCCCTGTGTGTACTATTATCCTATCAAAAGTAAATTATAATTTTACGTTAGGGAATTATAGAAAACGTATAATTGTATTACTAAACGATGGCTTGTAATCGGGTTCTTCAAATGTTCAGAACAATAAATAAATAATTGCAATAATTGCATAATATCAATTATATAGCTAAACACAAGTGTGAACATACAGAGCAAAAAGAAAATACTACTAATATAATGTACTTTTATGATTAAATTAATGTTACATGTGCCTCAAAAACATTTTATAAGTAACTCATTTTAAGATAGACATAGAATTGAACAATAAATCTAAAATAAATAAGGCAAAACATCTGAAAACTGGAAACATGTTTCTTTCTCATTAGATGATAACATTATTATAGTGCTGTTTCACTATGCAGTACCATGGCACATTGGCACCCACATGTTGTTGGCTATAACTCCCGTAAGTTTTGCTTTCCACAAGTTGCAAGATAAGCATCAGGCTTCTAGTCCAGCCACTCTTCGGGGTGCATCACACCACCCCTGGCATCATAGCATTTTTGCAAGACTTTCTAAAGCTATGTGTGATGTACTGACATAAGAATCATTCGTTTACAGTATAGCTTTAACTTAATTATTATATGCATGTTTAATTTTTTTGGCACTGCATTCACTGTTCTACTGTTTTCCCTTCATAGTTCCATCTTATCTGCTAGTTATTAAAGTTACTCTAATTCTAAGGAAACTGAGCCAAAATGGAGTAATCTGAGGTCCTAATGTGCCTTCAAATTGCACAATTGAGGAAAACCCCAATTTTGACCCATGTTGGCATTTGGGACTCTACTAAAAGCAAATCAGATGCAAATTCTGAAATTACCTGTCAATTTTGTAATTCGGCATGGAACAATCAGGGAACATTTAGGAGGGGAGAGGATTTAAAAACACTCTGGGACCCCTTCGAGATCACAACAATGCAGCAGTCATAGCACTCTCCCCAACTTCCACCCAATGTGCAGCTGAATGAAAACATTATTCAGCCAGTAACCAGATGACCCAGCAGAATGTTACCCCTTTTCCCACATGCCATAAACAACTGCTTGTTAATTAAGTTCCAAGCAACTGGGCGTCTTATCACTCACACACTCCATCCCCCTTTCAATGCAGTGGCTTTGGTGGTAATTATTGAAAGATGATACAGTAGGCAGGACTAGGGGATACCTGCATAATTTATGCATTTATTATGTAATATACATAATTAAGGCCATTGGGCCGAAATGTTTTATTTTGTTGCGTTTGCCTAAATAAATTGCACTTAGCATCCTTTCTGTTTAACACGTGGAGTTTGCATTGTATCTATTTGTTTTGGCTTATTCAGCTGTTTTTATGAAATGTTCTCTAATGGCTGCTGTTACTTTCATGATTATTGTTATTACTATTATTTCAACTAGTTGGTTCCATCTCAGGGATAATTTGGGTCACTTGACACTAATTCAGAAAGGATTCATTGGTTCAGGGATAATTCAGATTAATTCAGATTTACGTCTGCCTAACTTGGAGGATGGCACTTTTACTGAATTATCTATTAATGTTGGCCTCCAAATTCCCCCAAAAGATTTTCACCAGAGTTACATTATAACTTAGTAGATTATCCCCTAGAATGGTGATCACATCAACATGAGCCTCTAATATACACGTAGTTGTCAACAGTCTCAGCTGAATCATAACCCACAGATGATAATTTGAAAATGAAAAAAAATCATGTAAAGAGTAATGTTGAGTTCATTCACCATCATAGAGGTGAAAAGTTAACATTTTTTTTACCTCTACCATTAAATGTTTCTATGCTGTTTCAAGACTTGACTGATCATCTGTAAATGTTGCACAAACACACATAGTTCCAGGACAGAACTTACCTTTGCCCTGTGTAGGCTTGCAAACTACATTTCCCTGGATCATGAAAAATTTACTTTAAAAACTTCTGCAGGGGTGTGGAGCCTGACCATCAAGCTGGCAAGACATGCAGAGTCTGAGCTCCTCCGACTTCGGCAGATTTTGGGGCATAACTCCCAGCTATTGCACTCAAACGCTACCCAACAAGCTTTATCTGGGTCAGGGTCCCCTGGGCAAGCAGATCGATATCTCACTCGACAACTTTTGTAGCTGAATGCCCAGACGGGCCTACTGCGGCCTACTGGGAGTGGAGCTAGGGAGAGGCGGCCGATCTCCTCGCTCCGCAACTCACAGCGGGGCCCTGCAGTACTCTCCCCCCCCCTGGACCGGTGGGGGTTATCCCGGTCCCCACTGGGTAAGCCTGTCTCCACAGCACATGCCTTCAGTGGCAAGCATTAAACCAATCGACGTACCCAAAATGGCTGCCGCAGCAGTGCCTCCACACTCACAAGCAGATCTGGAGAGCCAGAAATGGAGCACCGTCTTCAGGGCCAGATTTGATGCCATATGTGAACAATTCTGGAACAGAATAGCTAGCCAACCTGCACGACTTCCGACACCAGCGGTTCCCACACCAACAGTGCCAAGTGCCCGTCTGCCCGTTAAGAAGATTGTCAGGGGCCCAGCCCCGAAGCATTGCCCGCGCAGATGGAGACCACTGTAACGGATCACCTGGCACCCCGACTGGGTACCTCCATTGAAGAATGCTCCTAGCGCTTACAGAGGGCTCCGATCGCTCCACAGACACCACAACCACCACAGACCCCACTAACCGCCGCAGCTTGGTTGGGGTCCCGCCGTCTCCTACCCACCCTGGACCTACGACAAGGCTCCAGGTTCCAGTGGGTGAACCTCTCCTCCAAGAGAGTGAAGCAGGAACAAGCTCTTAAAAGAGCTTAGTAGTGATTAGCTAAGGGAGTATGCAGGGCATAGCAATCCCTTGTAGTGATATAGCAATTCCCCCAATAAGAGACAGGACTCTAGATTGAGGGTGAAGTAGAACTGTCTGTACTGGCACATACAGCCTCTTTTATTCACATTCTTCAAACATAGTACTGCCTACAGGGTTTTGAAGAACAACCAATCAACACATTACAACACAGCTAACACTCCCAGGCTGGCAAACAGGCCCCTCCAAAAACCGGTGGCGAGGTCACTTTCGCCACATCCATGCTGCCACCTGCAACGGCAGTCAGGCAAGACGCTCCACTACCCTCCAAAAGGGAAAACCCAAAGCACCATGGCTAATGGCACCCAGGGGCATCCCATAGTACACACCGGGAGCTGGAGGGCTACCTTACCTCGCTCTGCTAATGGTAGAAACGCCATATACGCCTGTAGCTTGGTGATCCATGGAAGAAACAAGTGAAGCGCCCGGGCGGTGCGAAGCACTGGAGCCATCTCTCACCTTGCTCAGCTTCCCCAACCATGAAAGGACCTGTCCAGGGGCAAGTTTATTCCAACACGCTGCCACCTGTACGGAGCTCTGGCACGCTGACACACCGGGACACGCTAGGGCAATCCCCAAGACCACCTCCTAGCACATGGAAGGAATGGGCCTTGAGAGGCCTTTTCTTCCCATCCCTCACTCGGACAGCACTTTCTAGGACTACCACCCCTAGCATCCCCGACCAACAACCTGCCGATGGACTCTCCTGCCCTGCGAAGGTGTTTAATAGCCAGCGTACAGCTCCAGATTGATATGCCTTATTAACATGTGTTTCATCTTAGCTTGTGTTTTTTCTTTTATTTTACTTTGTAAGCATTTAATATGTGCCGCACAGTCACAGTCCCCAAACATAGAAATTCCCATGCACATTAACGTTGCTCTTATTGCCTCAGCCTCCCACCCCCAGACATTGCCTAAGCAGTCTTGGGAATAACCCACGGTTCTCTTACAACAAGGTGTGCTTTATTTACCTAATAGGTTGGCAATAATATTTTGTGAAGCACTGCGCAGTGGAGACTATCCCCTTTTCTCTTCTTGTATGATCTGATGTTCTCAGATTCTACGGCGCGGACCAGTGGCTACTATTTCTTGTGAATCTTGTTTAACTTTGCTTTTATTTCTCTATTATATTAACAAAAAAGGTGCCGACAACTCGATATATATTGTTTATCTCGAATGCTACTCTTGGAAATGTCAAAATGTTGATACTTGCATGTTGTTCCCTTAAAGCACCACTAAAATAAAGAAGAAAAAAAACCATTGTAGTCCTTGTTTTCCTAGTGGATATAATTATAATAAGTATTTAGGGATTTCTCAGATCTCATACTCCGTTAACGTACCTGTACCTTGTCTTGTAGGTGAATTTCTAATGATATGGCAATTGTCTCCCTCTGGATCTTATTGGGTTGCATGTACTTGATACTGCCATGTTGCAAAAATGCTATTGAAGGCCAACATTTTTCCCAAAGTGGCTGCAAACTGGTGAGTAGGCCTTAGGGCAATATTAAATGTATTTAGGAAAAGTAAGCACACTCTGCTTAGAATTGCTAGTTATTAAAAGTGCTCTGACCAGTAAGAAACAACACAAGAATTATCTGAATGTGTTTGTCACCTTATTTTTCAAATGTTAGAAGTTTATTAATATGATATGGTACTGTTTGGAATTCACCACTGAATTACACATTTTAGCACAATATAACTGAATTAGAAATATTCTCCAAACAAATATGTTTGCCCAAAATCTATACTATAGTAAATGAATAGCCATTTCGAATAGAAGACCAGGTCCATACTGGCATATATTCCTGTTTTTATTTAGGAAAAACAAATAAATCACATGATATTCATATATACTATAACGGAATACCTTTAATAAAACTACTTCAGCTCACTGAATTGGGTATATTGTCTGGAGACCCCTTGTGTTCGATGTTCTCAAAATTTTAATGCTAAACGAGAGTCCCCAGAAGCCCAATCCATCTGAGCTGCTCTGGCTAATAAGGAGGCATTGGTGATCAGAGACTCATTCTCATTCTCTGCTTGAAAATGGTTTAACACTGCATGAAAGGATGGTGCCAGAGACACCTGTCTCTATAACCAATTTATTGAGATGAAACTTTCATTGTCCCTTTAAGTTACTACTACTCATTAATGTAAATGTTGATTTGGTGGCCGATAACAATGTATTTGTCTACAGCTGTTACAAATGCTGGACATGTTGATACCACCTGCCAGTTTTTTTGTTCTGAAATGTTTAATAATGGTCTGGTCACTCTGTAAGGATTGTGAAAATTTGACATGGCTAAATCCTCCTATACCCCATTACTCACAGTCGGGAGTACCGTATATACTCGAGTATAAGTCGACCCGAATATAAGCCGAGGCCCCTAATTTTACCACAAACTGCGAAAACACATTGACTCGAGTATAAGCCTAGGGTGGGAAATGCAGCAGCTACTGGTAAGTTTCTAAATAAAATTAGATCCCAATAAAATTACATTCATTGAATATTTATTTACAGTGTATGTATATAATGAATGCAGTGTGTGTGTTTGTGTAGTGTGTATATAATAAATGCAGAGTGTGTGTGTTTGTGTGTAGTGTGTGTATATAATGAATGCAGTGTGTGTGTTTGTGTGTAGTGTGTTTATATAATGAATGCAGAATTTGTGTGTTTGTGTGAATGCAGTGTGTGTTTGGATGAATGCAGTGTGTGTGTGTGTATATAATGCAGAGTGTGTGTTTGTATGAGTGTGTGTGTGTATATAATGCAGAGTGTGTGTTTGTATGAGTGTGTGTTTGTATGAGTGTGTGTGTATATAATGCAGAGTGTGTGCTTGTATGAGTGTGTGTGTATATAATGCAGAGTGTGTGTTTATTATTTTTAAAATTTTATTTTATTTTAATATGATTTTATTTTTATTTTTTTATTTTAATATTATTATTTTAATTTATTTTTTTATTTTAATATTATTAATTTAAATTGTTTATTTTTTTTGTCCCCCAGGGAGGGGGCCTATGGTAATCCCTGGTGGTCCAGTGGATGTGCTGTGCAGTGAGGGGGCTGGCAGGAAGCGTTTACTTACCTTTACAGCCGCTCCTGTCAGCTCCTTGCAGCTCCTGTCAGCTCGGTGCAGCTCCCCCATTCAGCTCACAGTGTAAGTCTCGCAGTCTGCATGCTGTGCGGAGCGTTGCCACAGTAATCCACAGGGTCTCGCGAGACTTACACTGTGAGCTGAACAGGGGAGCTTCACGGAGCTGACAGGAGCTGCAATGAGTATATATGGTAATACTCAAGTATATATGGTAATTGTTTGTGGTAGAACGTACCGTTCCTTTTGTGGATTTTTCTGCGAACGACATTCGGGAGCTTGGAACTACCGACTGGGGGGAGCATTCACTCCCTCAAACCAAGAGAATCCCTTGTATGGTGTTCGTACAGGAACCCCCGAACAGAGACCGTGGCATCTATTTCCCTGGAACTGTTTTGGGCCATCACTTTGTGGCCGGCTGGTCAAAACTCTACCCCAGTGGCGATCCAATTCTGTCAAATGGATCTGAATGATACTTGGCCAAGTTGGACACTCAGATCAGAGCTATCTGGGGATATAACTCTTGTGGGGGGCCTTGTTATATTGGGGTGACTTTTGGGGGATTGTATATTTACAAATATCCTGTAATGTTGTGTTGGAGACCCCATGTTAGGGGTCAGTGCATAAAAGCCGTGTTGACTCCCAGAACTATGTCTCGTCTAGTTACTGGGGGAATGAATGCTTGGGGTTTTAATGGTTCCAGTCTGGCTGAGAGGAGGAATTAGTGGAGGTAACCAGTTAGGTTACCCGTGGTCTGCTACATTGTTTTCATGTATTTTTGGCAAAATGTGGCATTGGGTGCAGCTTCCACTGCCATATCCTGCCAGTTTTAAGTACCCTTCTATTAACCCCTATTTTGTACTCTAGCCTTTGTGCAATATTACAAAATTAACACACCTCCTAGCAGATGAAACACCATGAGCTGAAGGCAAATGTGGTGGAAAAATATGTTGGTGTTGAGAAGGGACAACATTCAGTAAGTATATCTCCCTAGTTACTCCTGCCTCAGGTGCCAATATACAAGCGGCATATCATCCTTGTAGCTCTCTGCACAATATGTAAGGACCCTACAAATAAGATTTCCAATTGACACCCCTTCTTGCCTCTTCAGTTCAGCAACCCTTTCTAGCCCTTGCTATAATTACACAACCATTTCCTTAAATCCAACACCCAATTACCCACTTTCCACTTAGCACTTCTGTCTCTGACACTCCAGGCACCAATATAACTTAAAGGGACACTCCAGGCACCCAGACCACTTCTGCCCATTAGAGTGGTCTGGGTGCCAACTCCCACCACCCTTAACCCTGCATGTGTAATTAATGCAGTTTTTACAAACTGCAATAATTACCTTCCAGTGTTAAGTCCTCCTCTAGTGGCTGTCTATACGACGCTGTTATACGACGCTGGATGTCCTCACGCTATGTGAGGACCTCCAGCGTCGCCAAAATCCCCATAGAAAGCATTAAATAATGCTTTCCTATGGGGAGGTCTATTGCGCGTGCCCGGCCATTGACGCACATGAGGTCTCCCCCGCCAGCTGACATTGGCGGGGGAGGAGAGTAGGCGGAGCATGACCCAGCGCCTAGGCACTATGGTGCTGGACTCCGGTAACTCACTTGAGATGAGAGGTGGGAGGAAGAGGGGCACTACAGGGTCCTACAGTTCCAGGAAAAAGAATATGTTTTCCTGGCTCTGGAGAGACCCTTTAAGTACATGCAGGGAAGCAGTGCCTGCATTTTCTTTTTATCTACAACATTTCCAGAAGGAAGAGACTCTGGTTCGTGAAGTCCAAGCTGCCACATGTATAAGAAACAAGCACCAGAAATCCTATCCTTTTACGTATCCTTTTTCACCTCATATTCAGGCTAAAAAAATTATATTGCCGTTTTCTACAGCATCGCCATTACCCACGCTTTCTGGTTTTACAAAATGTCTTTCCGATTGGAAGTATGCAGTGCATGCACACAGTGCAACCAATGAGAAATAAATCTCCTCTTATCATCACCACCTTCCCCCTATCAGTGTGTAGTTGGCTTAAATATTATACAACAATAGGAGGACATTAAATGGCTGTGGAGAGGAGTCATGTCAGAAGATTTTTCTCATTGGAAGTATACAGTACAGCTCATCCAATCAGGAAGACATTTTGTGAATAGAGGAGACATGGCTAAGGAATCGGTTATATTGCAGAAGGCTGCAGAACTTTTTTTTTTAAACAAAGCTAAAGAAACTAAAATGTATCTGATAATGCGGTTGTAGCAAACTCAAATCTTATTGGTCAATTAAAGTCCAAACAACTCTGCAACTTAAACCTTTTTATTCTCTAAACCAATGGTTCCCAAACTTTTTAGGTTCAAGGGGCCCTTAATATTTCAATATTTTTCCAAGGCAAAATAAATTTCTAGGTTGTATATATGTACAGCGCTGCAGCATATACTGACCCCCTGTTCAGCAGAAATGGTCAAGAGCAGATCAAGAAGGGCATCATTGGGAGGGGAACTGATAAATTATTTAAAGAAACAATCCAGGCACAATAACCACTACAGCACTCTGTAGTGGTTATGGTGCCAGGAGTGCCATGGTGCTCACCCAAGATAAGTTGTCAAACTGTTTAAGAACAGTTTGACACCTTGCCTGGGATCTGCCAGGATAGGGGCTGCAGTAGTGGATAGGGGCAGTAGTGTGTGTAGGGCGAAGTGTGTATGTGTGAAGGGTGCAGTGTATATGTATGTGTGAGACCTGTTGTGTGTTTACGGGGGTGCATTGTGTGTGAAGGTTGTAGTGTGTGTGTATTGGGGGCAGTGTGCGTGGGGGTACCATGTGTGGGGGGTGCAGTGTGTGTGGGGGGGCAATGTATGTGAGGGGTACAGTGTGTGTGTATTGGGGGCAGCGTGTGTGTACAGGGGGTAGTTATTGTGGGTCTTTGGGGGTATGAGGGCAGATTAATAAATATACACTTTTGTTTATTAAAAAAATAATAATAATTTTTGTAACGGACCGTTTTGCACAAAAGGGAAAAAAAACGCTTAGACGATAATCCCCTTTCAGAGACAGGCACAGCTACTGTAGAATCACCAAAACTCACGAACTGAATACAAGTGAATACTCCAAACTCCCGAACGGCATACAAGGGAATGCTCCAAACACTCGAACTGCATACAAGGGAATACAAGGGAATGGTCCAAACACTCGAACTGCATACAAGTGAATGCTCCAAACTCCCGAACGGCATACAAGGGAATAAGGTAGCACTCCAAATACACGAACAGGAACCATACGAATTGCTGCTACCAGACGAACAGGAAAAGCTCCCAAGCGGCTTACACTCCTGGCAATCAGTCCTTAGCAGCATACAGTAAATCCCCCCAAAGACGAGACAAGGCTCCGTGTTGAGGGTCAAGCAGTGGTCTGTTTAATGAGGGCTACCTGCCCAGTATTTATGCAGGTCTCCCACCTGGTGGACACTCCCCTAGGGGACCAGATGGAAGACTGTAACAAAAGACAGACATGTACCAATTACAGACATACAGAAGTAAAACATCCCCACAATGCATCCTGGCTTCCTCCCCTCTGCCCTGGAGAAGTAATTCAATTATCTCCCAGGACAAAGGCAAAACTCCATTACACATGTGGGGACACAAAACCAGTATTATACTTTAAAATACATAAAGTAACATTTATTACATAAAACACAGACATGTAACATATCCCCAGATAGCTCAGGTCTGAGCGCACATTATTAAGTGAATGGCGCTCAGACCACACAAATACAGTTTAATCGCCATGGAGCCAAAGTCTTTACAGTCAGTTTCATACGAATGGGCTCCATGGGATTCCTATCTGGGGTATAACACATTCAACCAAAACTACCAAACCCCAGGCAGAAAAGCACGAATGAAGCCTTTCTGCAGGTAAAAAAGATGTCTTTTAACAGGGGACCATAGTCCAAAGGCAGCAGGCGAGCAACCAGGCTTCTCCAATGCAATGTGGTGAGATTGGTCTCGTCACAATTTTCATATCCCCTTCCCTTCTTACCTTCGCTTGGGAGGGGGGACAGTACTAAACACTGGTGGTCCGGTGGAGAATCCCTGGTGGTCCAAGTGGTGAGAGTGCACTCTAGCAGCTCCTGAGGCTAAAGTTCACTCTGGTGAGATTCGGGGCATTGCCATGGTAGCCGTGGCAACGCTCCGAGATCGCAAGAGGAGAACCCGGTGAAGCTGCAGTTTAGAGCTCCCTCGGGTCCTCTCTCCCCCTCCCCAGCAGCATTTTGGTGCTAGCGGGTTAGTGAGGGAGATCTCTAATCTCCCCTCCGGTCCTGCAGAGCAGACAGGGGACAGCAAGGCATGGCACGGTTCCCAGTGCTATGATCATAGCACCGGAGAAACAATTTGAGGTGCCCCAGGGTGCCGTCACCATTTGGGAACCACAGTTTGGGAACCGATGCTCTACACTACATCGCCACAGTGGAAACACAATTTTCAAAACCTCAGAGAAAAAGAGAAAAAGCACATTCTATCAGCAGCCAATTAGAACCTAATATTTTGACAGTTGAGCTAGTAAACACCTAGAACTCCACTACATTGGAAGAAGGAAATGTTTGTCTATCTGCTGATAGTGAACGTCATTTGTGTTATTGCGTCATTTGTGAATGAAATGTTATAATTCCAAACATTCTCAAGTATAAGTATATGCAGCTTTTAAAGCAATGAATCATAGAACATGTTTTGTGTTTGTTTTTAAATGTATCCCTATTTCCCTCAATAGTGACTATGTCTTTTTATATCAGTGATATGCCCTTTTATAGTCAAACAAGTTTTACTCTAAAGATGTTTACTCACTTTAACAGTATGTTCTTCTTTCAGTCTTACAGAATTGCAGATTGCAGCCATTTTCAGCTTACATCGGTTCCTAAGGATCTTCCAAATGATATTGAAGAGCTGGTCCTGGTCTTTAATAATATCAAAAGGATTACTAGACCCTCTCTATCACTGTACCCTGACCTGAAGAGCCTAAGTTTGCAGTTTAATGGTTTGGAACTCATAGAATCAGATACTTTCCAGGGAACAAAGGGACTCGAGTCACTATCACTACAGGATAACAGTATTTCTACAGATTATATCCAGGCTTCTGAAGCATTTAGGTTTATTCCTTCTTTGAAGAAATTGGATCTCTCTAGAAATGGTCTCAACATGAATATGGTAACTGCCCTTCTAAGGAACCTGAAATCTCTAGAGTACCTTTCTCTGGACAACAATATGATTATGCGTTTGGAGGATAGTGTATTTGCAGGTCTACATGAGTTAAAGCAACTGAGCCTGCAAAGAAATTATATTTATGAGATTGAAACAGGCACGTTTGACCATCTGGTGAAGCTGAAAACTCTAAATTTAGCTTTTAATAGTTTGCCCTGCATTGTAGATTTTAGCTTGACACAACTCCAAACTCTAAATCTTAGCTTCAACCAACTGGAATGGTTTCAATCCATGGAAAATGATGTAGAATTCCAATTGGAGTTACTGGACATTTCTCACAATATGCTGCTGTTTTTCCCACTCCTGCCACGGCTGCACCATATACATAAACTGCTGCTTTCTGAAAATAGGATGAGGTTCTATGCGGATCTTTTTGATGCTATTTCATCCACTGTCGATTTCTTGATAATAGAAAATAACAGTACTAACATCTCTTCTATTAATCTCTGGGAGGAAGAAAAAATCACAAGTAATATTTCCACAATACAATATCTTGATATGAGCCATAACCATTTCACATACTTGCCAGATGGGTTTATTGAAAAAATGACTTCTTTGATTGAACTGAAACTTGACTGGAACTGTTTAGAGACATTTAGTATTTCACACTTAGAAAATGCTAGCTCCTTGGCCGAATTAGATCTCAGTTACAATAAGATATCGGAGCTAAAAATAAATAATCATTCTCAGAGCTTCTTGGGTCTACGTTACTTTAATGTGAGTAGGAATGATCTTCAGATGCTTCCCAGGCACATCTTCAGTGGCATGAATGGGCTAAGGACTCTAGATCTGAGTCATAATAGGCTTAAATTGTGCTGTAGCCAAGTTGGTGCTGTAGGTGTTCATGGCAATGACTGTGTGGACATCAGACATCTAACTGCTCTCAAAAATCTCTACCTGTCCGGATGTGGAATGGTATTGGATGCCCAATGCAATTTTTATGGGACTACATTAACTCACCTAGACCTTTCAGATAATCACATCCAAAGCTTGTCTTCTCTGCAGGACACATCTAGAACGCTACTCTTTCTTTCACTTAGGAACAGCTTGCCAAGTAATTTAAGTGATGTTTTCTCTACATATCAAAACCTCAGGTACCTAGACCTATCTGAAAACAACCTCACTAACTTTCCTAGATCCCTTACCGGATTGACTCTTAAATTCTTGGATCTTAGAAAGAATAACTTAACTTTTCTTCCATTGTATGATCGTTATGAGAATCTCTTAAAAACTCTCAATGTTGTATACCTCAGCAAGAACCCATTTGACTGTTGTGAACTAAGCTGGCTAGATGTTCTGAGAAAATCAGGTAGCATTAATATCCCAGACCTTCTACACGTGACCTGTAATTTTTCTCACCATTTCATGTCCGCACAGGACCTTCCATTGGATGTTCTCCACAGCTGCCAGTGGAAAACTGGTGGCACCTTGCTATACTTGCTGCTTACTCTTCCCATATGTGTGACATTCCTGGTCGCATTACTTCTTGTGATTTTGACTTTCAAGGATCTGTTTTTACAAGCCCTTAAAAGATGTTGCAGGAGATCCACTGGTTATTGAGATCCAATGTGGATAAAATATTGTTTACTTTACAAACTTTACCATTAAACATTCCCTTTTGATATACCAAAGTTTTTGACATCTGAGTTAACTTTTTAATTTGTAAAGCGTTAACTTTTTGTATATGTTAGCATAGCACTCCTCTACTGTCTTAATCATATCTGATCTTATGGATGCCCGTAAATTATTTTATATACAAAGAATTATTGCTGTTTCAAGATGGGGGATTATGGGATACATGACATTTACTAGTCAGTTACTATCACCCCAGAGTGACTTCATGGATGTATTGTTTTCAGGCTGCCAAATACAGAATTGACATAACCTCAGGACATCGAAACCGCATAGTAAATGTACACATAAATAAAGATATGTTTAGAAATAAAAAAGTCTTTCCATTCTGTCTGGCTCATAAAACTGCTGCCCACTAAGGCTATCCTTTGTTTGGTACCCCGTAAATCCAGAATTCCTGATATAACTTTTTTCTCTATATTTTTGATTCCATGCAACATCAAGACAGTGGTTTTTACTTAAGCATATTTTTTTTTTACTTGAACCCTCTGCAATATATCTCTTTCTTGAGAGAACTCCAGCTGGCCTGGTTTATCTTCTGAAGCTGCAAGAGGTAACATGTTGTGACATACATAAACATTAGTTTCAGAAGTAATTTATAATACATCCTTAATCTATATTTTTTATTTAATAATAACATTTTACTAAAGACAGATTATTTACATTAGTAGGTATATAGTTACCTATAGCTATGTTTTAATAAAATGTTATGTCTTATTACTTTAAAAAAACGGCTTTATATGAAATATATCATACTAGGAAGTTTATCACTGATGCATATAATAATGTAAGCAACGTATACAATGTAATGTATTATATACATATAAATGTATTATAATACTGTATACAATTACTGCACCCATTCCCACTAACATCTGCTCTGCTGGGTAAGACACAATTAGCTTTTTTTTCTAAGTATTCAAGTGTGTTTTATACGGTACTCATTTTATTAATCTTGGAAGGATGAAAGATTGATTTGGCCATGCGGTTTGAGCAAGTGCTAACAGAGTAGTCAGCCAATGCTCTCGGCCAATGAGCTTAGGAGCATCTAGCCCTCCACAGGAAGCTGTGGAATTAGAGAGCAGTGTTTGGTGGACCCCAAGAAGTTCTAGTGCTCTAAAATAACTCCTTACAATAGAGGAGCACATGGCACCATAACCACTGCAGCGTGAATAAAGTCACTAGTGCAACTAAAGAAAAATAAGTCAAAATATAGTCATTATTTAGTCCAGGTTGTGAAAGTACCTCCAGGATTTTAACTGATTTGTATCTAGTACAGGAGCTTTAATATAAACAAGCCTTAATGTTTTCAAGATTCCTGACTATTTTCTCCCTTAGCAAACTTATCAGAATTTAAATTAATTCCTAAGAATGTAATACCTTTACGGTGGCTTCTTCTTCTTTTTTTCAATAGCAACAGGCACCCCTAAACTGTTGAATAATTCGAGAGAATTGTTCATACTGATGGGTGGGGAGTTGCCATTTTCAACCGTAAGAAAATCAACCCAGTAGTGGATTACGACTGGACACCTGCACTTGTTCAGAAGAAGCCAACATAATGTTTATGGAAACACATCAAACAATTTTGGGCTGCTTTTAGAGCTGAAAGTAAGTTTTGTCACAAAGTAGTATTTCTCTTTTTACTTGACACCGTGCAAATGCCACAGGTATGAATGGGAGGCAATTTAAACACATTGGAGATATTCGTCTTGCTCAACCATACACCACTTCCTGTATCAAGAATGGTCTTGATAGCGTCATCGATTTTTGAATATTGGAGCGAGAAATCTCTCATCTGGTACTAGACAGCCACTAGAGGAAGAGTTAATCCATAAAAGTAATGATTGGAGTTTATTAAAAAAAAATTCAATAATTACCTTTCCAGAGTTAAGAGTGCTGGGACACTGCACCCATGCAGCTGAAATGGTCTGGGTGTCTATAGTGTCCCTTCAATGACCAAACACTACTCTAACCACAATTAAAATGACAGTTATTTCTACAGAACTATTAATTCTCGGGATGTGTTGTGGTTAATTTTATCTTTCTCACAGATCCCCTCTTTTATGCCTGTTTCCTGTAACTGCATGCAGAGTTGCCCTTTCGGTTACTGTAACTAGAAGTGTCAATGTCAAATGTATAGAACTCATGATTGTTCAGTCATTAAAGAGAAAAAAATATATGTTTGTTTTGTAGCACTCAGGGAAACGAACTAAAGTAGGTAGTTTACTACCTTAAAGATAAAGACACCATCAAAATTAGAGATGATTATCTACAGGTGATAGTAATGCAACGTAAAAGGGGAAACTAATATATGAGATAGACGCATTACATGCAAAGCAAGATGGTTCAAGCCGTGATTTGTCATAAGTGCGATGATTATGGCTTACAGCTCATGAAAACCCCTTTTAGTTTCCCCTTTTACGTTGCATTACTGAAATAAATGAACTTTTGCACAATATTCTAAGTTTTCGAGTATCACCTGTATAGGCTCCAACAAACGTGAGTGTGAGGAATTACGGATTTACAATCTATTAGTTATTTTCGAAATTGTAATGTGTTATTTTTGTAATTGAATACTGACGTGCCTTATGTTAAGGGTCAATGTTTGTAGCAAATAATTACTAAGAGCTCCAATTTTGATTGAAGTGTAGAGATTTTTTTCACTACAATCCTCATACAATTTAAAAGACAAGAATAGCTTGAAAAGGCTGCAGACCTGTTGTCTGAAGCCTTTGAAACTTCTCTTCTTTTTTGAATAGGAGTAAACTTACTTGGTGTTCTAATGTCACTTTTACTCTGCTGTTTCCTTTAACCGTTAGTTTTCCATCCAGTCCTGTTTCTTTAAACTAAAGAATATTTATTGAATCTACCCATTTCTTGTTTGTTTGTTTTTTGACAATGTTTAAGTTTTATTTTGATATCGACACAAAGGGAAGACAAAAAAAGTCAGCACAGTTTCACTGAAACATTAGAAAAACATCTAACCTAGTTAGTAACTTAGCATGTTACAATAGACTCCTTAACACCTGGCAAAGCACATCATAGCCACAGGCTTTTGACTGAATAAGTGCAGTCTCAGCAAACCTATGGTTGGTAACATGCTATCCATAGCTGTACGTTCCCATCAGGCAGAAGTGAGAAAATGTGAAACTGAAGATCAGTTCTACCCAATAGGCATGCCATCTGCACTTACATTTGTCTACGCTGAACCAGCTTGAAATGAGGGGGCAGAGAGTTGCATCCAGAAGGCAGGGATCAGCGACCAAGCAGCTATTAGGAAATGGCTTTAGAATGTTTTTTTATAGCGGAAAATAGGGATTTTTGCATGATTCTGTAACATTTTTGACCATATGGAAAGACATTTCTTGAACCTCGACTGAGGTCATAACTTCATGTACTTTGGCCCAAAATGGTTGTATGATCGAACACTGCCAAAATATGTGCAGCAGCACTCCAACTGCCTCCCCAGTACCTCCAGAATAGAGATGAAAAGTCCAGGAAGGCTCTATAATGTTTCTGGGGTATATTATACCAATTTGCAAGAATTTTGTACTTAGTCTCATGATATTTAGAGCTAATTAAATCTATGCGAATAAGTACAAGTATCTTTGTCCACTGCTGGTCAGTAAATGTCATATGTAAAACCACTTCCCAGTATGACATAAAAATTAGTAGGGCAGTCTCAGGTCCATCCTGGAGCATCCAGTAAACCCTTTTTGTTTTCAAAGCCTACTCAATAAGTATGTTTATGTCAGTAAAATTAAAGTAATAAGAAGTTTCTAATGTTCTATTACTGCACAGTGTGGCATACGTAAGTAGTTATCCTGAGTTATTTACTAATGATTTATTTTCAAGGTTGGTGACTCATTCAAGGGCTGCATCCCAACAAAATGTATGCAAAGAAAACCCAAAAACCATTATTGTTAGTTAGCAGATAATTTCATATCAAATATAGTGATATCATTATTATTAAAATGGTGACTATACAGGGAGTGCAGAATTATTAGGCAAATGAGTATTTTGACCACATCATCCTCTTTATGCATGTTGTCTTACTCCAAGCTGTATAGGCTTGAAAGCCTACTACCAATTAAGCATATTAGGTGATGTGCATCTCTGTAATGAGAAGGGGTGTGGTCTAATGACATCAACACCCTATATCAGGTGTGCACAATTATTAGGCAACTTCCTTTCCTTTGGCAAAATGGGTCAAAAGAAGGACTTGACAGGCTCAGAAAAGTCAAAAATAGTGAGATATCTTGCAGAGGGATGCAGCACTCTTAAAATTGCAAAGCTTCTGAAGCGTGATCATCTAACAATCAAGCGTTTCATTCAAAATAGTCAACAGGGTCGCAAGAAGCGTGTGGAAAAACCAAGGCGCAAAATAACTGCCCATGAACTGAGAAAAGTCAAGCGTGCAGCTGCCACGATGCCACTTGCCACCAGTTTGGCCATATTTCAGAGCTGCAACATCATTGGAGTGCCCAAAAGCACAATGTGTGCAATACTCAGAGACATGGCCAAGGTAAGAAAGGCTGAAAGACGACCACCACTGAACAAGACACACAAGCTGAAACGTCAAGGCTGGGCCAAGAAATATCTCAAGACTGATTTTTCTAAGGTTTTATGGACTGATGAAATGAGAGTGAGTCTTGATGGGCCAGATGGATGGGCCCATGGCTGGATTGGTAAAGGGCAGAGAGCTCCAGTCCGACTCAGACGCCAGCAAGGTGGAGGTGGAGTACCGGTTTGGGCTGGTATCATCAAAGATGAGCTTGTGGGGCCTTTTCGGGTTGAGGATGGAGTCAAGCTCAACTCCCAGTCCTACTGCCAGTTCCTGGAAGACACCTTCTTCAAGCAGTGGTACAGGAAGAAGTCTGCATCCTTCAAGAAAAACATGATTTACATGCAGGACAATGCTCCATCACACGCGTCCAAGTACTCTACAGCGTGGCTGGCAAGAAAGGGTATAAAAGAAGAAAATCTAATGACATGGCCTCCTTGTTCACCTGATCTGAACCCCATTGAGAACCTGTGGTCCATCATCAAATGTGAGATTTACAAGGAGGGAAAACAGTACACCTCTGAACAGTGTCTGGGAGGCTGTGGTTGCTGCTGCACGCAATGTTGATGGTGAACAGATCAAAACACTGACAGAATCCATGGATGGCAGGCTTTTGAGTGTCCTTGCAAAAAAAGGTGGCTATATTGGTCACTGATTTGTTTTTGTTTTGCTTTTGAATGTCAGAAATGTATATTTGTGAATGTTGAGATGTTATATTGGTTTCACTGGTAATAATACATAATTGAAATGGGTATATATTTGTTTTTTGTTAAGTTGCCTAATAATTATGCACAGTAATAGTCACCTGCACACACAGATATCCCCCTAACATAGCTATAACTAAAAACAAACTAAAAAACTACTTCCAAAAATATTCAGCTTTGATATTAATGAGTTTTTTGGGTTCATTGAGAACATGGTTGTTGTTCAATAATAAAATTAATCCTCAAAAATACAACTTGCCTAATAATTCTGCACTCCCTGTATGGCATTAAAAGAAAATTTTAGTTTGAAAAAAAAAAAAAAGTTAGATCTGTTTCTTTAACCACTTTACTGTCCAGCTTGAATATAAATGTAAATGTGCTGAAAATGTAAGCTCACCCCCTGTTTTCAAACCATAAAGGAAGTTTCAATGGCTTATACCATCCCTACAATCAGGGAGGAGAAGTCGTGAATGGACTCTACCATATCACTGTCAGCATTACATTAATAAAGATTGCTATAGCAGTTTAAAATACCATTATTTTAGAAATACTTTTCCCTTCCTTCAAATAAATATTATGCTGATATTTTTTTCAATTAATAAGTGCTTGAAGTTTTAATAACTAATCTTTTATGTCGTTTTCTTTCTCCTGATCACATACTGCTTATGGATTACCAATGATTGACGTCTGTTGAACTGCATATGTAAAGTGCTGACTAGGCCTAATGTTTTACATGTGTCCAAAAAGGATGTCAGCTAAGTAATCACAATGGAATCTCAGAGAAACCACAGTGATTTTTTTTTCCATTAGTGCCTTTCAGTCAGAATTTGCTTCTATCGCCTTACATATTGTGATGACATGAAGGGGTGCTGCCCTGGAGCAGCACTGTCACTTTAAATGTGGGAACCAATATGGCAAAGAAATAAAGTCCAAGACACAAATGAATAGGATAAATAGAGAAATATATAAATTTACAGGAAACCAAAGGAGAAAACAAAACTACATACATACATACAAACAAGGCCAAAAATATATACAGTAAATAAAAATAAGCACTAAACGTGCAGGCAACAAATACTGAAATAGTCCTTTTGGTAAAAGGGCAAGATTGTGCAGATACCACGAGTATCAGGTAGGGCACAGATCCAGAGTCACAAGATTAATGTAGTGACATCAAGAAGCAACACCAGAAGTCAAATAAATGAGCAAGGCTGCAGGGACAGGATCACTGGCAGTAAAGCAGAGACCACGGAACCAGATCACAGGATCGGAGGACACAGCAACGAAGGACCAGGAGAACATAGTAATGCAGGATCAGGAGGACACAGGATGAAGACCAGGAGAACACAGGACCAAGCACTGGCGTACATACCAGGGTCGCAGGGGTCGCGACTGCGACCGGGCCCGGCCCACCAGGGGGCCCGGCCGCCCCTGCGACCCGGTATGTACGCCCAGGGCCAGCCTCTTCCCCTGGGGGGCCCAGGAGCCGGCCACCCCAGGGCCCCCCCG